ATGAAGAGATGAGTGCGGTTGGTGCCATGAGTCTAGAATCACTGCTTAGATAGGAGTGGCTCTCAGGCCATGAGATGGGTTAGATGGCTAGATGGTTAGAGGGAGAGTGTCAAGTATTCCAGCCTAGAGATGGAGCCCAGGATGGTGGTGTGAGTCTGTGGTTCCTAACTGAAAAGGTAGGGCTGAGAGTCTGAAGGTAGGTCCAGGAAATGCAGTCCTCAGGCAAGTGGAAAGGTTAGGTGGTTTATCCAGCCTATTCTTGAGTTTTGCCTGCTTGCTATTATTGGAATTAAATGCGATCTGATTCTTCACTATAGTTGTACATTTTGTATTCCATTTTCTCCTATTTCTGACACCCCTTCAAAGCATACATCCTGAGGCTGTGTTTTTAAATGCAAAGAAATTTGGAATTATTTTCCATCTAATTAAACTAAAACACTCATCATTACAAAGTGTCTCTGTTTAGCTCTGCCTATTGTTAGTCTTGATGTTTGCTTAATGTACGTCAGAGACTTACAGTAGCTAATGTTTCCATGGTCTACCGAGGCTCATCATTTCATTTCCAAATTTATTGAATCCTTACATTGCTGGCATTTTATTATTATTATTACTATTATTATTCTACAAAGAACAGATAATTGTATATTTAAAAAATCTGATAGGATAATTTTTATTGCCAACAGAATTTTTTCCCATTTACTGTAGTTGTTGTCAAATTCAGATGAAAATCCATCATCTTTCTATGTTCTTTCTATCTGTCCTTGCTGTCTTATACTCCTCCTCCTCTTGTCTTCTTTTTATCATTTGATTTTCCCAAAACAACTAACATATGGTTATCAGTTAAATTACAAACTTGATGCGGTGGTTTGAAGGAAAATGGCTCCTATAGGAAGTGTCACTATTAGCAAGTGTGACTTGTCGGAGTAGGTGTGCCCTAGCTGGAGGAAGTGTGTCACTGTGGAGGTGGGCTTTGAAGTCTCATATATGCTCAAGACACACCCATGTTTCAGACCACTTTCTGTTACCTGGACAAGATGTAGCATTCTCAACTGCTTCTTCAGGACCATATTTGCCTGCACACTGCCGTGTCCCACCTTGATGACAATGAACTGACCCTCTGAATTGTAAGACAGCCAATTAAATGTTTTCCTTTGTAAGAGCTGTTGTGGTCATGGTGACTCTTCACAGCAATAGAAACTCTAACGAAGATACTTTTTAAGGGTAACCTGTATTTCTGTATACATTGCAGCCAAGATGTGAAATCAAACAACGTGTTCATTAACATACAGATGGATAAAAGTTATGGCTTCCTGTACCTTAAGAGTAAGGAGGATGGAATTCTGTCATTAGCAAAAACACGGGAAGCCTAGAAAATACTGAGTTAAGTGAAATGAAATAAGCCAGGCACAGAAAGACAAATGACTTGTTGAATATTTCCACAAAGAAAATATTGGTTACTCAAGGCTGAGGAGAGGTTGGGGTGGGGTGGGGTGGGTGGGGCACAGGGAAAAGTATGGGGATTCTCTTTTTCAGCACACTCTCCATTGTAGTCTCTCTTTCAGACAGGATGGCCTCTATCTCTATGTCGATTAGGATGGCTTTGAATCCCGATCTTCCTGTTGTGTTTGAAGGTGTCTGCCACTATGCCAAGCATTATCCTCATTTTTTTTCCTGGAAATTATGTATCGCTTCTATTCTTTTAGCAATTATCCTGAAAGCTTTATGTGTATTCTCAATATATCAATGTGTAATCCTAATCTACATTCTATACTCATTTAAAGTAATTCAAGGAACTTGAAATACTTTCATTGTATTTAATTCCTTTAGGCTCATATGCAATTATGTTAGGAACTTTGGGTTACCCCCAGGGACCTTTCTTTTGGAGTCTCTGAGAAGACTCCCATTAATTTAAACATTCTGTGAGGATGGAATTGCATGTTTAAAATGTTCCAACTTTATTGTGGATAATCAATTCTTAAACGAGGCATAGCTATTTCGTATTTCTCCAAGCAAGAAGGCGGGCAGCTTGGTAGGGACCGTCTCCTTTTACGGGAATGGAGGTTGCCAGGCTGGAGGGAAGGTTGATAGAGCTGCATACACAATGAGCTATACTCCAATGATGGCTGGAACAAAACGAACAAAACCAGACACAGGCTGTCAGCGGCAGGTTTGTGGCTTGCCTGAAATGTCAAACCCAAACACAAGAGTAGAATCACTTTATTTCTTGACCAAAATTGTTTTCATTTCTCTGTTTTCTCATCATATAGAAGCCTACAGCCCTTCTAAGCCCACACTACAAATATAGGAAGAAGAGACAAGGCCGCTGTCTAAACGAGACTGGGGAGCAGGCCTGAGATGTGTTACGTCAGACTAGTTCAAAGGTGCTTTATTCTCATAATTATCACAGTAGAATGTCATTCACAAGGTCTTAGTGCTGCGGGGAGGGGCGGGTGGCCTGTGGGAGCTGTTTCTCCATGAAATCAAACCTCAGTTAAATTGTGCTGCAAATATGCCCTGAAAGAAGAGAATCTTTAACCATATTGAATTTAGTTCAGTAAAGCGGAGACGTTTTCTATAATGTGACTGAACGTATTCCACACAGCTGCTCTGTTACCCTACACCTTTACCTGTCCCTGAAGCTGTGTAAAGCACCCACACATTTCTTGACGCCTTGGTGAGGAACTTAGGCACTTTCATTTTCTACAGCACCATGTCACCTTTTCCAGTCCCAAGGAGCATCAGTGGCTACAGAGAGCAACACTGTGCCTTACATTCTAATTCTATTGACAAGATTACACTCTTTCCAGGTTGGGATGTTATATTAGTTTCCTGGTTCTTGTGGTAGGGAGAAGGGTTAAATCTCCAAACGACAAATGACTAAACCTTGAGTCACTCAAGTGTTAGTCTTCAAAGGGAAGAATTCTCACAGCCCTCTCTGCCGGTCTAATTTAATCCGCCACAGTCTCCAGACCTCAGCATTCTCTGCTCCAGTGTTACCTAGGCCCCATGCTACGGATAGACTAGTGAGGCCAGAGACTTGAGAGGACTCGTCAAGGTCATGAGACTAATGACTCCCATGCTGAAACCATTCCCAAGTTTGGAAGATAATGGCAGTGAAGATTTGAGACTCCAGATCAGTGTAAAGCAAGCCGGGCATAAATAGCAGCTTCCGACAGGACTCTGTCCCATTATCTTACTGATCTCTAGGTTCCTCTGGGGATGAGAGATGCAAGCTCACAACAGCTGCCGACACAGTCCACAGACGGCACAACAGCCATCACCGCACTCTCTCTTTAACTTTAAGAATCGATTGATGGATGATGTGGCCATGTGACACGTCCTGCCGACCAGAACCTGACAGAGATTGAGAGCATCTATCAGGAGCCTGGGCCTCCTGTTTTGCTAGCTAGGACACCCGCCAGAGTCTCTGTGTTAATTGGCTCCTGTGGGGGCAGCTATTTCAGCAACAGCTCTCTATGACACATCTTAATTTAAAGGGAAATGCTGTACAGTACTTCACAGCCACTCAGAGCTTCCGCTTGCTCATGCCTAGCTGACGGGAGGAAGAGTGAAGTAGCCTCCCATGCTGTGGCGTGGACAGAAAGGTACATGATTCAGTCTCCTCAAACGTAGGAAATATATTTTTTGGGAGACAGTTGGTACAGTGTCTGATTTCTGCCTAAAGAGAGGCTTTCCCTAATGTCAGATGAAACTGAAAAAGAAAATTGTGCAAAAAATTGCCACTGTGACCTTAAGCAGGCAGTCTTTGAGTCGATACGAGAATGAGGAGTGGGGTGCTGTTAAAACAGACAGGACATACTGGTGACTCCACCCAGAAGCCAGCCAAAAGGACAAGGGAAGGTTTCAACTGTAGAAGGGAGGATTTGGCCAAGGGGATTTCAATGTCAAAGACTGCATGAGCTAAATATAGGATGCTCAGGCACGTCACAGGGCCGGGGGTGGCGTTGTACACACAGGCAAATGATGCCATTTCCACTTCTGGCAAAATCTGAAGAAAAAAATTGACTAGGAAACATTTAGTCATATTTCATTTGAATTATACTTATAAATACTGAATTGCAGACCTGTCAAAATAAGCCCCGCCAGCAATTCCTCGCAGAGGTGCCAGATAGACAAAGGCTACATACAACATGAAGACAGTAAGGAGCTTGCAAGAACATCATGTTGGGAAAGCCACAGAGCTAAGCTGCCAGCTGAAGAGGATTCTGGGAGCGAAATGGACAGAAACGTCCCTGAGGTGTGTGGAATGGAGCTCAGAGCAGCTTGAATGTCGAATACAGGAAGGGAAAGAGACTTCACTCAATCCTAGAGAGTTGTGAGTTCCAGGTCTCAGTTCTTTCTGGCCTTCACGGGCAAGGACCTATCACTGTTGGGTGTGATCTTCCTGCTAGGTGAGAATGTGCCTACATGGTGACCTTGTCCAGCAGGCAGCTGGACTGTCCCCTTCAGAAACCACAGTGCAGCAGGCTTGGGAGCTTGTTCCCGCCAACGCTTTGCCTCGCACATGGAGAGTGTGTACAGTACCAGGTTCTGGAAGTGAAGTTCTTGGTATGTCAAGGGCAAACTTCTCATCTATACCCACCAAATTTCCAACACAAAACTGGCGGAGAGCTGTCTAATCTTTGTAAAGTCTTGTATTTCCTTTCAAAACTGTGACAAGATGACGCAGGGAGAGCCCTTTGACATCTTTCTGCCTGTATGTGCCATCAGCTCAAGAGGACCCAGAATCAGGGCTGGTGCAGTGCAGAGCTGTGGGAAGGAGGGCAGAGAGGGTTTCTTCTCACAAAGAGGTGACAGGTTCGTGTTGGCTAGTGCGCACATTGCCGCTGGCATGCCCTCACTGGAAAGTGTGCTTCATGCATCCACTAGGTGACACAGGAGTGGAACGGGGGTGGCTCAAGCTTCATACATGTCCACTAACTGGTGGTGGAGATCCGGAAGGGCTGAAGGCGCTCAGCCTAGCATCACGGCTTCAGGGTTTAGATGAATTCCGGTTTGGAGAGAATCTGCATCTCTTGCCTCTCGCTTCTCTCTCGGTATGTCATTCTGGAGTCCTGTGATCTCTGCTCCCTGGAGAAAATCAGAATAAAGAAGGAAAGGAAAACAATGTAACTGGAGACAAAGGCAGTGTGGACGCTAAGAGATAATAGTCAAGGCAGTGTAGAAGCTAAGAGATGATAGTTCAGAAAGGTCATTAAAGATCAACCACCTGTTAAGCCTTAACCACTGTGCCTCTTCGTAACTGCTTGTCTTTACAGCCCAGTGAACAGAGACAGCATTGGCCAAAAAGGAGACTGATTTAACCTCATGGTCACATGCAGAAAAGAAGCTCAGGGATGTGCACATCCCACGTTCACATGTGACTTTACAGAAGCAGGAGGTAACCCTCAGCTGCTGCCATTAAACAAAGCCTTAGACCAGTGGTTCTCAAGCTGTGGTCTCTCCTGTCAGCTATTTACATTACAGTTCACAACAGTGGCAAGATTTCAGTTACAAAGCAGCAACAAAAGAAGTTTATGGTTGGGGGGGGCTGTCACCGAAACAGGAGGAGCTGTGCTAACCTGTCACAGCATTACAAAGGCTGGGAATCACTGTCTTAAACCATCACGTTACTATTCCCTGTGCTACGAGTTTCTGCATTTACGCCCTATCTAATGAGAAGAGATGAAAACCAGGAGGATGACAGCAGCTGTCTGGGGATCAAATTTCAGCTCTGCTACTAATAATCAGTAAACCCTCAACAATGTCACTCAATCTTGTGAGCCTTACTCTATAAAACTTTACCTCTGAAGTAGTAAAAACGTCCCATATCGTACTCCCAGCAGACTTATACTCAGGCAGTTCATGTGGGGAAGTTTCCATCAAAATTAAGAACCTTCACGTGTGTAGCACTGCCTCGGCCTGAACCTGGATTTGAGGTCACCAGACTAGTGGGGACTTCCTAACCTTTAAGCACCTCATCTATGAAACGGGAGTTCCGTAACCTGATGATAAGCTTCGGGAAGGAAATGGGAATCAGGGTCTAGATGTAAAAACTGGTGGCATGTCGGGCACCAGTGCAAACACAGCTTACTTGCAGGGGAAGCAGATGGAGCTGCTGAAGACGCAGTAGATGAGCGGGTTGATGGCACTGTTCAGGGCTGGCAGGTTCTGGATGATCACGGAGGCATAGAAGCGCTCCTTGGTGTCCGGAAGCAGGTTGAAATTGTCCAGCATGTCAAAGAGGAAGTATGGGCTCCAGCAGCAGATGAAAGCTAGAAAGAAGAGAGCCGTTAGTGCCATCATGGCCACAGCTGAAACATCACTCTTGGCTGGCCATGACTGACTGGAATTTTAACTGGGATGTTCTTTGGCGCTAGAGCTCTCTCCGCAATACTGGCCTGGGTATGCTGTTGTGAACAGTTTGGTGTGTTGGAACAGGACTGTCATGCTTGCTTAAATATGCGTATGTCCTAGAGACACCATTCCTGAACTGAGATTTCCTGAATCCCCTCTATCTGGAAAGGGGGCTCTGATTTCCACTGGTGTGGACTTATTGCTGAAATTCTAGGATCTGATAGAAACAGTCAGGGCCTCCCACCCATCACAGTGCTGAGGCAAATGAGCAGGAGCTATCAGAGATCCCCTGAAACAGACAGAACAGGATAAAATCTGATCACATTGATTTCTAGTTCTAGGATATACAACAGATAAAATGATGCTATTATTTTTAAAGCATGGGCCATAAATGAGATCATTATGATCTCAAGTTGCTTAAGTGAGCCTTTCCCCAAAGCACTCATCCAATACTTGTGTCTAGATCAACTGTGTGTGAGTTCAGTGCCTCGGAGGATAGGAAGGAGATGTGGGAATCTCAATTGTGATGGTTAATTTATGTGCCATCTTGACAAGGATCCAAGGTGCCCAGACATTTGGTTAAATATTAATCTAGTTGTCTGTGAGGTTGTTTCTGAGAGAGATCTTGCCTTCTGCTGGTGAAGAGGCCTCATCAGATCTATTGAAGTCATAACTATAACAAGAAGGACCTATGAGAATTCGTTCTTTCTGCTTGGTTCTCCTTGAGAACCAAAACCTGGAGCAATAGCCCAAACTTTGAATTAAAAAGGAACATTAGGAGTCAATTTTATTCTTGAACATTTAGGTTCAGATCTAGACTTGAATTGTTGAATTTACATTAGTGGCTATCGGAGTTTCCCACTCCACCATGGAGCCTGAGATTTCTTGACCTTCATGAGCCAGTGAAGTGATCTCTCTCTCTCTCTCTCTCTCTCTCTCTCTCTCTCTCTCTCTCTCTCTCTCTCTCTCTCATCTTCATCTATATGTCTATTCTATATATCTTTCATCTATCTATCTATTCTATATCTTTTATCTATCTATCATCTCTCTATCTATCTATCATCTATATGTCTATTCTATATATCTTTCATCTATCATCTATCTATTCTATATATCTTTTATCTATCTCTCTATTATCTATCTCTCTATTATCTATCTATCTATCAATTATCTATCTATCTATCATCTATTTATCTTTCTATCTATCAATTATCTATTTATCTATCTATCTATCTATCTATCTATCTATCTATCTATCTATCTATCTATTATCTATCTATCTATCTCTCTCTCTCTATTATCTATCTATCTATCTATCTATCTATCTATCTATCTATCTATCGTCTATCAATTATCTATCTATCTATCTATCTATCTATCTATCTATCTATCTCTCATCTATCTGTGTCATCTATCCTTCTGTCATAAAGCTGGCTACCACTTATATATCTGCCATTTCTCTGGATAACACAGGCAAACTCAGAACTGCATAGCCTTGGGTTCCTCTACACCAACCTGCTCCACTTCTATCCTGTCACATCACTGTGACTTTATTTTCTCAACCCTTTCTCACCCCCAGAGTTTGCCCTAGAGTAGAAGTTCAGCACCCATGGACATCCGCATGCAGGGGTAACTATCTTCCATTGTCATTAGGTAGAAATTCAGGAACTTGATCCAGAAGTTGGAAAAGAGAAATTAATTCATAATTTCTCCCATAAGTGGACTTGATATCTTAAATGGGAATCATTTAAACACTTAAGATCACCATCTTTCTGTGCTCCGAGCGGTTAATGCCATTACTGGGACAGTTCTTATGCTCTCTCCCTCTCTCTCTCTCTCTCTCTCTCTCTCTCTCTCTCTCTCTCTCTCTCTGTGTGTGTGTGTTTGTGCGCATGCATGTCTGTATATGTGTATTTTGTGGGATTGTCAATTCTTCCTCATATTGGAGGCAGAAGTTCATAAGTCAATATTTTGTTTCATATTTGTTTTGAATTGTCAACTTGGCATTTATGTATGAGATACTGTAGTTTAGAGAGCTAACAATTTTTATAGATACACCTGAATATTTTAATAAATATTGAAGCTTTCAGAAATATAGTCCCTTTATGGACAAGATGAGTTAGTTCAATTTGAAGCCTTACCAGTTTTTTTTTTTTTTTTTTTTTTTTTTTTTTTTTTTTTTTTTTTTTTTTTTTTTTTTTTTTTTTTTTTTTTTTTTTTTTTTTGCCTGCTTGGAAAATCAGGTAGTGACAGTAAAACTCCTTGTATTTGTGTGTCTCAGTGGAAACATCTGTACTTGTTGTCAGTTGTAGCAGTACAGGTGTAGGCATCTGATTTCTTTATTACTCTTCCAGTGAAGTTGTGCCCATGTAGTTGCATATAAAAACTGGCATTGCTCTATTATAAGGCTTTTTAACTTAACTCTCACTCTAGCTATTTATTAGAGTAGTATGTTGACTTTAAAAATGCAGTAGTTGTTAATATTGATACTTATCATTTTATGATGGTAAAAGAGCATGACAAAAACATTTGCTATAGATCAGCTGTTTCATTATGACAGCATGCTGGCCTGCCTGTGGGCACTCCTGTCTGCAGACTGGACAGACCTCATATGGAATAAAAATTTCTGATTGAACAGGAATACATCAGCTTGGGAATGCATGTTTAAGCGTGTATTTCCTCTCTCATCATCCAGAAAATGGGCGTCTGTGATTCTGGCTGCGAAGGCAAGGAATCTTTGCTCTCCTTCAGAAGCCCCTGAAAGAGTTCCTAGAGCTTCGATGAGCCTTGAATGCCCCTGCAGCTCAGCTGGCGTGTGCTGTGTGCCTTTTCTCTGATGGCTCAGCCATGCTGAACGTGGGCTGTTTGGCATTTTGTATTTTAGGAAGGGAGAAAGAGCTATTCTTGTGATTTGACACACAGCTAAGGTCTTCCTGGGGGCTCCTAAGTGCTTCTAAAGGAGCAGAGGTGAGGCATATCAGCTAAACAAGAAGAAACAGCACACATTCCTGCCCTTCTATATTTGCTTCCATTTGTTCATTACACAAGTATTAACTCAGTGGTGTATGTGTAACTTACGTTTAGGATAGCATGATTAACTCAAGGGCAAGTCATTGACCTTATGGATTTATAAATGTGTCAGGAAAGATATACTTAGTAAAGATATATATATATCCTATATCAAGATATGTCTTAATAAAACTATATTTATGAATGTGTCTCATGCTAGAAACAGTTAGAAAACAGGGACAAATCAGCAAGTTGGGATGAAGTGAGAGGAGAGTTATTTAAAAATACTCGCCAGGGTAGCCTGAGGAGGTGTCATTGTTGGGTAACAAAGTAAGAAAAAGTGAGCCATGCATCTCTCTTACCATTTTTGACAGACAGCAGTGCAAACTGATTTTATAGATTCTAAGTGCAGGAAGAAAAGAGCAGAAGACAGTGTGAGGAATATAAGCTTTGGCCATAAGGGAAGTATTATTGACTCTGAAATTAAATATCCAGAAGAAAAAGAATGCACATCTACTATTTCATAGGAGAGACAATGTCTTAAATGAAGCCTCTGAATCAAGGGTGATTTGTTTAGAAGCTCAGTCCTAATCAGATTGTGTAAGAGTGATTCAGACCATGATTTTGGTGGGCAACTATATTCACAGAGAGAGGGATTCGGAGCCAGTTATTGGCTCTTGAAGCAACCAGACACACTGGTGAATCCTGCACCTTTCATTGTAATGAAAGGTAGAAGTGACTGTACCATATTCCTTCCCTGCATGGCCTGGCTATCACCAGTTTGCTTTCAGAATGGTATTCAGATGTATAACGCAAGGAGAGATATTTCTTACCGAGGATAATGACAATGCTATACTTGATGGCCTTGATTTTTGCTCTCGAGATGAGCCCTCGGTTGTAGCTGCTGCATAGTTTGCCATCTGTGACAAGAAGGGTCGTAAAATGGACAAAATGTTAAAAGGACAAGGAAGGTTAGACTTTCAGACCTGCTTATGTTCTGCTCCTCTGGGGCAATCTTAGACTTGGATGGTTCAGGGATGGCTGCTAGGACCTGTTCAGTTTGCAGTCTAATGCAAATGCCACGAGGTGCCCACACTCTCTTAGAAGATAAGGTCAGGCTACTGAAACAGCCAAAGCTGGAATTAGAGCACAGAGCTGCAGGGGGTGGAGTCTACTTGTTGAGGGGTGCTCTCAGTCTTGAGCTGTGCTGAGTCACCCATGAAGTCACTGCAGTTACCCCTAGAATGGCTTTTGCAGACCAGTTCACAGATCTTCCTGTGAAACTCTGCTCTCTGTAAAGCCCAAGGCACAAGACAGAGCCATGTCTGAACCTGCACATAAACTCTAGTCATATGTGAATGCCATCTGAGGGCGAGATAGTCATGGGATGACTGTGAGAATATGTGGAGGGGGCTTTGTTATGGTTCAAGTCCATGAATTAAAGGATCAAAATTGTGTGCTGAATAAATCAACACCTACTTCTTACAATTGAGTTATTGCATAGTTATTATATTATGGTTGATTGAGATGCGCAGAAAGTGCAACAGATCTGGTGAAATGAGTGAAGAGAAGGGGCTTGGGAGATGGAAGGTTGGCCACAGGACTCCTTGCTGGAAGTATTTATTGCTCTCAGAAATTCCCATCTCATAGGACATGAAACCTTTACACACACTCAGGGAATAAACATTGGGAAAACATGGGAAAGTTGTCTAAAGTTCCCAGTCTTGGTTTCCTAGTTTGGAAAATCAAACTGTATCCAAGGTGTCAACCTCTCTGCCGGCACACCAGTCACTTTGTCACTTGGCTTGAATTACGTTTTAACAGTGTTTCGGGACAAAAAGGGAGCTGTCTTTATAGAGGAAAACTGACAGTATTACTACCCTAGACAGTCTATTATACAATGGTGTTGCCATAGACAGCAGGAAATTATCAGGGTGAGATTATCTCCACGGGGGCAACAAAAGATGGTAGCAGATCAAATTATGTCTTTCCAAGTGTCCCCACACGCCGGCCCAAGGTAACAGCTGGTCCCTAAGCAGTGTGGCTTTGAAAACTTAATTTGTCTTTCAGGAAAGTTTTTGAGAATGACATTTGTGCTCTGAAATCTTTTAAAATGGAAAATCTCAACACTTTCCACAGGGCGACTGGATGACAATATCATCAACTCCCTGCCCTCTGGATCTCCCAATGAGATCAGTGAAAATCATCTTTAATGTGACCACTCCAGCAAAGGCAAAGCCTCCAGCTTCACAGACAGCTCTTCAAAGAGAGCTGAGTTACAGGATACAGGTAATTCCCCTTTATTGAGAGATAAAAGGATTATTTCTACTCAGGACTCGGCACTGAGCTGGACTGAAAGCAGTGAAATTCAGCTCTCACTGGTTGAATGGCTTGTACAGCTGGGAGGAGCAGGCTCATTAGAACCGAAGCTGGAAGAAGCATGCTTGCTAACCCTGCTTTCGTTCCAGGGTGCAACTGTAGTGGGGTCACAGCAGAGGTTTGGTTTTCATTGGGTCAGCTCCAGTTTTTAATCTTCCCAAGGACTCAGGCTCCTTTCAGAGTTACCAGGTTCTCATTATTTCTTGTTTGCTTGTTTATGTAATTCTATAATTTTTCTACTTTTTCTTTAAAGATTTATTTATTTATTTATGCATGAGTGCTCTGTCTGCGTGGACACCTGCCTGCCAGAAGAGGGCATCAGATCTCATTACAGATGGTTGTGAGCCAGCATGCGATTACTGGGAATTGAACTCAGAACCTCTGGAAGAGCACTAGTTCTTTTAATGGCCGAGCCATCTCCTCAGCCAATAATTATATAATTATTACTGTGGAGAAAAGAATGTGAGTGCCTTGATGAATGTACGGAGTCAGGGGACGTGTGGGGTTGGATTTCTTCTTCCATCTGTACATGAACTCAAGGGGTTGACTCAGGCTTGAGAAGAAGGCACCTTTACCCACTGAGACATCTCGCTGGCTCAGAATCCCATTTGTCATGTGATCCCAGCCCTTGGATCTGGGGAGTGGTCATCTGGAACTCTGCCTGCTATGCCACTGAAACAGCACGCTCTGGAACTTTGAATGGAGGTGAATTTCCTTCCTGTTGCATAGGGAGGCTCCCCTCCCCTGCCAGGACCTGGGATGTGGGCAGATGGTTTGTTTGAAACAAGGAAGTCTATTTTAGAAATATTTGAAAAGAAGTTTCATGTGTTGAAATTTTGTGCACTTCAGGTTGATTTCTTTAAATGAATATTTTGAAGATTTTAAAGCTTATAATTAATTTTGATCAACAAGAAATTTTCATCCACAAATATAACCCAGCTGCCCCTGGAATCCTCAGCTAAATGCTTTTGTCTCCGTGGCCTGCTTTGCTTAACTATGGGATGGGCCGTCTCCTTTCCAGGGTCCTTCTGGGGCTACTTTATCTTGGCAAATACAAGGGAATATCTGAGAATATGCTCAGATCTCCCCTGGCCACCATATTCCCAGGCTGCAGCTTGTCTTGGCCAGGTCTGTATTGTTGCTGCTGCTCTGTGAAGCTTTTCTTACACCCCAGCCCCAAGTTCTCTACTGAGACATTCCTGTGGAGAGGCCCTGGCTTGGGCAGCATCTGCGCAACAGCTGCAGCCTCTTTAGAACCACCCTGGATGCTCTCTGAAGATGCTCGTGCCCTTGTGCAGCTACCCTTTCTGGCTCTCTGCTTCAAGACTCTTGATCTCAATCAGCCCGTCCATCACAGATTGATCAACATCACTGCCCATCATGGGGCTGCCTGCTCTCAACCTTCTGCTACCGGCTCCCAGAACCACGGCTTCACTTGCTGTGCTCTGCTGTTGCAGGGATCTGAGTAGAATTGAGGAATCTTCCAGGACTTTGGGCATCTGAGGATCACATTCAGCTCTCTCCCACCCCAATGACCACAATAAGGATTGTGATTATGCCAGAATGTTCCAGCTGACCCCAAACTTACATAGTCTTTTGACTTTAAAGCCCTGGGAGAACTTCTGTCTTTTCTCGTCTTGGACTCTGCCTACCCACCCTATTAGCTTGCTTATCTGTAGCTTTTTCTCAGTTTTTTTTTGTTTTGTTTTGTTTTTTGTTTTTGTTTTTTTACCTCAGTGTTAACAGGAGGTAATACCAGGGTCTGAGGGAGTGTCAACACCAGGGTCTGAGGGAGTGTCAACAAACTCACAGGTTATTTGTTTTTGTACTCTGCCCTTCTGTTTAGGCAAAGATCTCTAGTTCCAAGGGATCCATGCCCTCTTCTGGCCTTCCTGGGTACAACCTACTTGTAGCACACTTACACACATGTGGAGAAATACTCATACACATAAATAAAAAGACACAAATATTTTAAAATGCTGTTGTATTAAGGGTACTCATATTTCAGAGTTTATATAGCTGCTAGAGTTTCCCTTTCCCTAGCAGACATTAGTACTGTATATGTAATGCTGCCTTCATAGAAACACAAAACACAAGACACTGTCTGATGAGCCAGTGACAGGAATCTGGGATACTGTGATCTGGTTGCTGGATGAGCCACATGCTGAGCTAGGCAAGGGGAATCTGTGTGCCTACTCTGTCAGAGCACAGGGAGTGAGATGGGTAAACTGAGTGCTAACAGTGGATTAGCTGGATTGTTATTGTATTGATTTGGTACCAGCCATGTTTAGGAAGGAACCGGAGAAAAAGAAATGAGCTTCGATTGGAGTTGGTTGACTTAACAAGGACAATAAAGGAGATAGAGAAAGTCTCCACATTTCTCATCTTGTGGAGCTGTGAGCAACAACTGTCTGCTCTGCACTGGATGTATTTCTCATGTGGCCTCTTGGGAAGTGAAAATACAAAGCGACCTTGAACCAGCCTTTTCTAAATGTGCAGATCCAGACAAGAACAGCCCGTTCCCAAATGAAGCCATTAACACTGAGAAATTGGAACAACAACAACAAAATACCCCTTTAAGATTTAACCTTGTGGCAAAGATCAGACCAAGGACTTGGCTTCCCCCTTGTTGCTTCAGAGGCCTCAGGATGGATCCACTGAGTGGAGGGATGGGGACTGAAAAGGGAAGAGGAGCAAGGTTTAGATCTGAGGATTTGGCTATGGCTGCCAGCCTGTGAGGCAGACGAGAAGCAAACAGACCAGCAGTCTGAGGCAGGCATGAGGAGTGTTACTGCTGAGCAACCCAAAAAGCATTAAATTTGTGTGCATGCCAGCCCTTAGATTTGCCAGATCATTTTCTAAACCAATTCTGTGGGTGGACAGTTGTATCTACTTGAGAATCAAATCCACACTTCCCTAGTTATTGATGGAGCTCTGAGTTTGGTTTTCCTTTCTGATAAATGCCTGTTCGTGCTTTGCCGAGTTTTTTTTTTTTTTTTTTACATGTGATTGGCTTTAAAATCCCCTTTTAAAATGGCTCTGTAGGAGTTCCCCATGCATTCTCTCAGCTCATCTTTTTCTAGGCCACTCATGGAGTGTGCACACTGGCTTTCAGAATGCGGACGCAGTCAAACTAATGCACTCTGACTTGCAATTTAATTTAGCATGCATCTTGTCTGTAACATCTTTTATTTTCCAGCATCATAAAGATATTACCTAACTTTTGTTTAAAAATTAAAAAAAATATTTTTATGTCTAAGATTCTAATTTCCCTGGAGTTACGTTTGTCTATAGATTGAAGTAAAGTTTTAATTTATTTCCCCATGACCTTCTGATACGTGTCAAGAACTATGTGTGTAGAGATCTATTTTGGGCCATATTATTTTCTACTGTTATCTACTTTATGTCGATGCCTTTCTACTCACAGCTTTGACTTTAAAATAAACTTATATATGGCACAGAAAAACAGTCCTACTTTTTTCTATTTTTTTTCAGGAATAATTTGGATTTTCTTGGCTCCTGAACTTTTCTGTCTTATAAACATCTAAAAGACTCAAAAAATGTTTTAATTCTCATTTGATGGGAATTGTATTAGTTTGCTGATTAGCTGGGACCAGCCAACATATTAACGGCATGGCATCATGCTAGCTACGCAATTCCATAATAGTCATCTGCTCATATTTTTGTTTTCCCTCATGCATTTTTTTTTAGGAATAGGTAGAAAAGTGTTGTGTCCTCAGCTGGTGCTGAGAGTTCTTCATGTGCTCATCAGAAAGCTGTCTGGCTACGAAGCAGAACTTCAACCTAGTACCCAATCTAAAGGGTTTTTTTCCCCTCTCTACCTCATTCTGCCTAACAGAATTTGAAACCTGCCATTTGACACAGTATTGATCACATCACACACACAAAGACATGATGGGGAGACCCAGTTCTCTCCAGAAATGTTATACCTTGTCAGTCTCATGGCTTGCCCTCCCCAATCTCCCATCCTTGTGCAGTGAATGCCCTCACCATAAGGAACAGTTTGTCCCAGACTTCAAATGCACATTTGTGTGAAAGCTATGTTTGTGGTCTACATCATCTGTCTGTGGGAAAACCTTTAGGTCATTTATGAAACTGTTTCCTTTTTGTTTTCTTTGAGTCAACCCCTGGGTGGGAAAAAGCAAACACACTTGTCAGCAAGAAGAAGGGCTCCACACTAAGGACGACTTGGACTTGGCAGACAGTGTTTACAAAGTGAGCTTCTGTTCACACTAATCTTAGCCAATGTACCTTGTTGATGAGCACTAACCCTGGCGTGCCAGCACTGCTGGAGACCCCGTTACCAGCCAGCTCCTAAGAGCCTTGGCTGTTCTGACACATGGGAAGTCAAGGAAAGTCCACTGAGGAATAAAATTCAGACAGGATAAACTCTGGAGATTGCAGCTAGCCTCATTCTGGAAGGAGATCACGGAGGGTGACAAGCTAAACACAGGTGCAATAGAGATTTAAAATTATATTAAGTAATGAAAATTGACAGAAGCCATTTCTAATTTAGAACAAGGCAATGTTGGGCATATTAGTGGACAGGTATCTCTAAGTTGCTTTGTACTGACTCAGTCCTGGAAGTTGGGGAAGCCCAATGTCAACACTAAAATATACAACAGAAGGGAGATAATAAGAGGCCCTACAGAGAGAAAGGAGCTAGTTGACAGTGATGGGGAGGCTTGCTGAAGATCACCTCAGATCTCTGACTTTGTGTGGCTTGCTCCTTTTTTCTGATTGGTGAATTCAAGGAAAATGAGGTAAGCTTCACCGTAGATCATTGTTGAGGAGTGTAGGCAACAGAAGAGCTATTGGGGGTATGAACAGGAGGGTAAGAGCTCAGAGGGACAGGCAGGGACGAACACACCAACCTTTTGTAAGGGGCAGAAATCACAGGATAGAGGATTAAAATATTGGTATCCTAGCTACCTCAATCAAACCAGACCTTCACCTTCAAATAGAGAACAAAGCTTTAGAGATGGGCTGGGGAAGCTTCTCCATGGGAGCGCTGTGGGCGGTATGCTGGACGAAGATCTCAAGTTTGGATTTTTAATAAAAACGCTCAGGAGGGGGTAAATTTGGGCTCGTTAAAAAGCCATTTATCACTTCTCCTTCTTTAATTTCTTTCCTTGTGGGAGATGAATGGGCTTAAAGGAAAAAGCATGGGTGTCCTAATCAGTGACATGCACTTGAATCCTGGTCATGTCACCATGTGCCACATATAGAAACTGTAATTCGTCTCACTGTTGAGCCCCTTTTTATCTACAGAATACCACCTTGAAAGCTGGACGGGGATTAGAGAGGTAACAAAAGGAAAGGATTCCAGCAGCCTAAAGTAGATGTTCTGTCTCTCCCTCTGTCCTGTCTGTGTCACTGGGACATTGGATCTAAGATTTGTGTCCATTGTCCTATACTGCTTCTAGCAAGCAGCAGAACACAGCAGAACACACCTGCATTAAGATGGAGATGCCAAGATTCGCATACCTCACTGAATTCTCTAGGGAAAGAGACACAAATGCTCACATCTGATAAACCTTGGATCCTCTTGGCTATCTCCTATCACATGAGCTAAGAAACTTCCACTGTGTTTAACCAAGCTCTGTCTATGGCTGTTGCAGAGTTAGGGAGCTCAAGTCCAAACAAAGATTAGAAAAAAAAATCTAATGCCGATACTCATTTTCCTCACTTGAGCCCAAAGAAGTCACATGACTTTGTAAGGTGTTATGGCTTGCAGTAATAGATACAGAGCAGAAGCTTCTTCCAAAGTTTTATACATTACTTAGTGGTTGCTATCTGAGTTCAGATGGTGTGTGTTGGGCTGTGTTGTGTGTATGTGTGTTTTATAGTATATAGAAATCTAAGTGTGTGAACATCTGTAGATGTTTTGTTCGTGCGGGCCTGTGGAGTATGTGCTTGTGTTCACGTAAGGGATGAGAGGAAAGTGGGACCTAAGCAGAGTGGTTTCATTCTACATAACTGCCACATTATAGCAAGGCTGGAAACCTGTCTTCTTTCTGGCTCATATATTTGCCGGGTCTTTTCCAGTATAAGCTAACCAGGTAGTAGTCTTCCTAGAGGTGCCCTGAAGTGCAGTGAAAAGGAATTTGGGGAAGGGCTGTCTCGTGCCAGTCTTGTTGGGCTAGAATATCAGGGAAGGCATGTGGACTGAGCTGCGCCTGATGTCAGGGCTAAGATCATCCTCTAATCAGATGGTAGATTTACCCATTTCTAAGTCCAAGACAAACAGAGAAGCTCATCTTCAGGTTTGGTAGGCATGTTGAGCTCTCAAGGTTCTTTGTGCCTGGCATACATTTAGGGTGACTCCCCATACTGCCTCTAAAGTTGCTTCAAGGGACTTTGCTTATATGACTGAACAAGTTCCAAGTACCCTCTCCCTTCTCCCATGTATATTTTTTTCATTTTAATTAATTAATTAATTAATTTCTTATTTGTGTGGGGTTCAGCAGACAACTTTTTGGAGTCTATTCTCTCTTTCTACCATGTCAATTCTGGGTGTTGAACTCATGTCCTCTGACTTGGCAACAAGTGCCCCTACATCCCGAACCACATCTCTCCAGCCTTCTCCAGGAGTTTTCAGGGAGGCTGACTGGAAGACAGAGCCCTCTGGGCAGATTTGGGGTCCCCATTGTTGGGTCCTGCTGGAACCAAGCACACTTGTGGATCCAAGCAGCCGCAGCTCATCCCGCTAGAGGAGAAGTTCAGCAGGAGGGTTGAGATAGTCAGAGCCTTACCCAAGCAGTTGGAAATCACCGTCTCGTGGGCTTTGCTTTTAATCCAAATAGTTCGGATCACAAGGCCATAGATGACACTGCAGAATGAACCACAGGGAACATTAACATGGCTGATCAGTTCCTCGTGTGAGGATTCAGAGAGGCTACCGCTCCTGTTTCCCCTTGGGAAAGGTACCCTGGAGGGTTCTCAACCATTCCTGCCAGCTAAGCTTGCTGATCTGAAGGACTATAAGAGTCAGTTGGATGGAGCTGCTAGTGTCTTAAATGAAGAGATGAAGATACAGAGGAGATAAATAATTTAGATATTCAACAGTGCAGCATAGATTATAATTTGAACACTATAACCTTTGGAGGTAGAAAGACCTAGGATTATGTACACGTCAGTGCATATGTTTTTGAAGTTTAGTTACTTTTGACACTTTCAAAGGACTGTGTGTGGCGGGAGGGGGTGTGTGGAGACCTGTGGTTGACATCAGCAGTCATCTGCCTTATTTCTTTTCTACCTTTTCAATGAAGTTGGCTTTCTAAACCCCAAATTAAGACATGGTTTGTTTCTCTGGTCAGATTGCTTTTGAGAAACCCCTGTAGACCTTGGAGTTACAAGGCTGGAATTATAGAGGGACCTCACAAATGCTAGAAAAATGTCCATTATGTAGCTCAGGCTGGTTTGAAGCACATGGTCCTTCTGAATACTCCATAAAGGCTGGGATTACAGGAATATTGCAGCATACCCCCTCACGATAGGACAGCCTCTGTGTCCCTCCATTGTATTCTTGCCATAGTGTGATCTTGTCTCCTTGGGTTTAACAGGGACCTGTTACTTGCCTCAGCTAAATTCTTGCAGTCCCTAGGGTTACAAAAATGGAACAATCGTCTAACAGCATATTTCTCAAGGCAAGGCTGCCTTTAATCCTGAAGGCCAAGTGAAATTAATTCTGCAAAAATAGGAGAGAGCTTGGAAAGACCCTTTCTGAGTTGTGCCTCCGGTGACCTTCCACACCTCCTAAGCCCCTTGATGATCACTTACCCATTACAGATCCGGTTAGTCTTGTCCAGGCCCCAACAGAGACACTGCATGCTGGAGATCTATACTGTTTCAACGCACTAAGCTTGTGATAACGTGTTATACAGTAATTGATAACCAACACTCAAAGCTCGAGTTGAAAGTCTGTAGCGCACACCTCTTGAAATTTAGTGTCAAATGTGATTATATTTAAAGAGCTGAGCATGCATAGGGCTTGCATATCAGTGGACTTAAGAGTGCAATTTCCATTCTTCTTGCCCTAATCCCGAGTTTTCCACATTCCATCACACCCCCACTTCTCCAGTGATGAGGTCTGTGCCAGCAGAATGTCAATAACATACACACATCAGCAAATTTTGTGGTTCACATCTCCTTTGATAAATACAAGAAATTCAACGCTTCTTAACACCATTTGACACTTAAAAGTTTACTGAATGTGTCAACTAAAAACTTTGGGAAAACACTGCTTTATTTTTAAACTGCATAATCTTTCCTCTGGAGAATTGGTAGTTAAAAAAAAATCAGAGTTCCAATTTGTAGTAGCTGACAAAGCACTAATGGATTCTAATGGGCTTTAGACTATAACTTAATTAATGATGATGTTAAAACTTTGTTTCTTAATGCTTTTTTCATTCTTGCTCTGGGAGCTCCTCTTAGTGCCCCAGGGACCCCCAGGCCTTGGTGCAGCATTCTCTTCCTTCTCGTTCTACCGTCTAGGGATTTTCTGGTACTCTATGGCCCCATTAAGGGAAAAGATGAGAGAAGGTTAGCAGTGAGGCTTCTCTTTGTTCTAAATGAAACATTTGCTAGATCAGAACTCAGTTCCCAGGAGAAGGCAGCACAAGGTGTCTTAGTTACTTTTCTAGTTGTTACCAAAGATCTGAGAAGCAGCAGCCTCAGGGAAGAAGGGTAAATTTGGGATCTCGGTTTAAGGAGAGGGCATGGAGACCAGAATAGCCCACAGCTCTGTGACTCTGTCAGCAGTCACGAGAGGCTGCTTGCTCAGTTCAGAGATGGAACAGGAAGTAAGGTTGGGCTCTATCCTTAAGAACCCCTACTCCATCCCCTCCAAGATCTGCTTCCTGCAGTCGCAGTTCATCTGCCAGAAGTTCCACAACCTCCCCAAAGAGAAGGAAACCCCATGAGCCCAAAGAGAAGGGGACATTGTGTGTGTGGTAAACCACAACACAAGGTGAGGTCATGACCAGAAGACATTAATGCTGTCTGGCCATGATCCCAGTATTTAACTCATTGCTAATTCAAATGTTACTAACAATGAGTCACAAGCATGATGGAAAAGTTCAGAAAGGTCATATAAGCTAAAGACCTGGGTCTAGGTGACGCCTCTTCTACTTATAGGCAATCACAGGAACATAAAGCCAGGCTGTCCCTGATAGTCAGCTAGACAAAAGGAACCACGGCGTATGTATCTTTGTCATTTACTGTTCCAGGCAAGCTGCTTCTTAGAGCAACAGTCACTGCTCAGAAATATCTTCTTTGTAGTTTTCTCCATTTTTCTCAACTTTTCCATCTAATTAGTGACCAACTAATTAGTTGGTCTGTTCCTTCACAATGACTCCTGCACTTTCTCTCCGGACTCTTCAGCAGCAGTACAAAGCTTTGTAATCTCTCTTTTAGAAAAAAAAATTCTTTTACTCTGACAAAATAAAATACTCAGATTACATTTTAATCCTTCTAATTAAATTGTTCTGTAACAATAGGTATAATCAAACTGCTGTATGACTGTCGTTGCTGCCTGTCTGTAGAATTTTTCATCTTCTCTGATGTTTTATTACTGTTCAAGTTATGTGAGGAGACACCATGACTAAGGCAACTCATAAAATAAAGCACAGAGCTGGGAGCTTTCTAACAGGTTTAGGTGCTTGGCCTGTGATCATCATGGTGGGAAGAAGAGACACATGGTGATGGAGCAGAAGCTTTACATACTGATCCACAGGTTGTAGTCAGAGAGAAAGACACTGTGCCTGGAGGGGGCTTTTGTAACCTCAAAACCCACTACCAGTGGCACATCTCCTCCAAGAAGGGCACTCACTCTTACTAATCCTTCCCAAACAGTTCCACTGACTGGAATCAATCATTCAGATATATGAGTCTACGGAGGCCATTCTCATTCAAACCACCAGATCAGTCAAACAATAGCAGGGGGTACTTCATGAATATGCATAGTGTCTCTTTGTGGGACCCATGCTAATCTACCCAACTTTAGTCCATGTGCTCTAGAAACACATGAATCTTCTAACCTCTTCCCTAGTAATATCATAATCTTCAAACACCTCTCTCCTGCTGCCATAGCCAGAGACCACAGCAGCCATCAGTGATGGTGATGTAGGCTAGAAAGCTGCTCTCCAGCCGGATTCCTGGCTGCACCTGAACAAGCTCATTTCCCTGAGACACTATCACTGTCAGGACATCAAATCTCTCCACAACTTCCTCACTTCATTACACCCTCCTGCTCTTACCACCTCATTGCTTCTTGGCAGACCTTTGTCTTGGGTTTCTCAGCCAATAGGAGCAGGACAACCAAATGAGTATGGACCCTCCTTTCCTGAATAGTAGGCTTGGGTAAGAATAAGTTCCAGGGTTTTCTACCCCTCTTTGTTCTGTCCCTGGGATACATTTTCTTTTGTCTCCTTGTAGTCCATATTGTTCTACATGCTACTTTGCAGAGAAACACTCCCTGCCCTGTTCTTTTTTCATGGTCAGCTTTACTTCCTTGGACCATTCTGTTGGACAAACACAGGCTGTGTAGAGCCTTGTCTACTGCAGCCCAGTGATGAAGGTCATGCAGCCCAGAAAGGAAAGACAGTCTTTGATATTTTAAATACAACTTCTCCTGTGTCTTTGATTTCAGTAACTCTCTCAGGAGACTTAAACTTCTTGAAGGCATGAAAACTGAAAGACTTCTCTGCCTCAGGGCACCCCTGCCCTCTAACTATCTGTTTACTTCATGATCTATAGAAGGCAGTCTAAACAGCCCATTGTTCTTTATGGAATGTAGAGGCAATGTAGGGTTGTGGATGTTCTAGTAGTCACTAGAGTCAGGATTGCAGGTCCCATTCCGACAATGCCAGGGATAAGCTTTATGCCTTCACTCTGGATCAAAATGACGAGAAGCATCAGAAGTTACATGGTTTGTGCTTTCACAGGTGATTCTGCACTAGCACAGCAGAAACTCTGGGCCCCCGGAAGAGCAACAAAATGAAATGGCTGATTACACTTTTCAAAACTGAATTCGGTCCAATATATATAATGTTTACATTTGTGCAAATAACAGAAAGAAAGAAACACACATATATGTTTTGTTTATGCAAAATAAAGTCCTGGGAGGCCACAGACTAACAGTGCACATTTGTGCTTCCAAGGGCAAGGAGCTGGCTAGAGGAAGATCTCTGCTTTTTATTTCGAACCCATAAGTACTCGTGAGAAATGTAAAAGAAACGTACTGTCTTTTCTATTACAGGGTTATGTAAGACAAAACTCCATTTTAAAAGTATTGTAAAGAAGTCACTTGGCAGAAATTCTAATTCTTGAAATCAACATTTCTATCCAGGGTTTCATCTGGTGCTAAGAGTTGCATCTTGTGTATCAACTGTACCGTTTAGAATTAGCCACAGTGTAAGAATGTGAGGCCGAGCTCTGACCACTGGGAGTGATGCCCAGGACCCCCTTTGCATTAGGAATAATAACCTAGTGGCTCCCACTGGTTGTGCTTTGCTGCTAGATTTGATGAAGCTAAGCACTCTCTGCAGAAATAAAAATTACTACCTTGCCAAAATACTTTGGATTTTGTGGTCATTTTCCTAATACCCCGGACTCATTTTTAACTTGCTGAACACTTAAATGTGTAGTCTTGGATATCCATACTAAGCATCAGCCCCAGCTATGGCATGGAGTCAAGATTTAAAAGAGGTAGACAATGGACAGGAAACTTTTGTACTAACCTGGTGAAAGAAGTAACAGTCATGCCAGGGTTGCTCACTTGTTCTTGACCTGGTGATACCCTGTTTGGGGTGACTGGATGACAGGGAAGAG